CACCACACACACACACACACACTTGTGGATCCCTTTTCGGGCCGCAGGTTACACTTCGAACACGTCTTGATAAACTAAACACTGTATAGACAGGCAGATGTGCGTCCAGCATAATGATGGACCATATCGCAAACCAAGATTTATATTATATTAGGCGAGAAGTGACTGGATACCGAGGGTCACAGGCTGACCAGCTGTATGTTCGGAGAATAACTAGTTCATACACACTCTTCGTCTCGTCGATTAGCAACCTTGAAACGGTGACTTTAGTTCAAATGCTGGTCTGTACTAGCCGCTGGTCGTCGACTAGAGTTGGAAGCCTGGATTTTCAGTAGCAGTCGGTTGTTGCGGAAGGAGACTGACTGAAAAAGCAAGATTAACCGACAAACCGTAGCAAACTTTCGAGAGCTGACAAAAAGGCCTCCGGTCGTTCGTCAAGATGAAATTTGCCCAATGTGATTGGAGATTACTGTGAGGCGGGAAAAGAGGACGACAGATATTGTCCATCTAATGAACGGTAACTTACACGGCCGTCAGGAGTGGTTTGTGACCCAGATGCGGACGGAGTCGGAAGCACAGGAATCGGTCGACCGCTTGCTTCAGCCATACGAACGCCTTGCACTACTTGTCCACACATGATGGCAGAAGGTCCCACCAAATTGGGTCTAAGTTGCCTTGGTTGAGGGAGATTCTGGATAGCCGAATGCGGACACAAAAGTAGTGCGGTGGGGTGCAGATGACCATCGGAAAATAGTCGCTTCACAGCATGACAGTTGATCCCACCAAAAGGAGTCTGTATAAGGATGTGAAAAGCACAAGAATGCGTGACAGAAACACAGGAAAAATGAAAATTTGGTTGAACGCGTGGTGATGCAGTGAGAAAGGCTACTTTGCAGAACAATGTTTCTCAAATTTCGGGAATTGACGGATTTCACTTACCCTAGGTAGTGTGTTCTGTTGAACAAGAGCCAAGCAGTAAACGCTAACTTGATGAATGCTATCCACGGCCTGCAGCACAAGAGACATCCATGTGAATGCTGCTTCATCTGAGTAGCCTTGACGCAGTTCCGCAATAATTACAACCCGTTCGTCTTTGAGCAATTCGATGGAAAAGACTGCAATGCTGGAATCCGGTGAAGGTAAGAGAAGTTAGCTGGATGCAGTGCTCAGCGAAAAAAAACTAAAATTCGTACTATGGGGCTGAACGCATGAGCCGCACAGTATGGAACAACACTCATTGAGTAGGCAAACTATGTTTTAAGAAAATCCAAGCTGTAGCAATTACCTAATACAAATACCTAATACATAGCTACCAAGCAACCTAAGAGAAGCAGGAAAACCGAGATATTACAGAAATGCTCTGGGCGGAGGGGGGGCCTCTCGGTTAGTATCCGGCCTCTAGACCTCTTGTTCAGGTTACTTTACTCCATTATCACGAGCTCAACCCGTCGTTAAAGAGAATGCTTCTTTGTTTTGTACGAAACGGTATAGACCACTATAGCGACCACAAAGGGATAGCCCCGGTAACAAAAGTAACTTGCATACCGATAGACGGAATATATTGGTAGATGGGTACTAACACTATTACGTAGCCAGTGTCCAGTGTGGTAGAGACGGGTTTGAAGTTCAGATGCATGGGAAACTATGGGATGCAGGCATGAACTTTATGGACAGAATATAGTGCACCATATTGAACAGATGTAAACCACTGACTTTCCTGTAACTGGCCCAACCAGACTACTCTGATTGTCATTCAGGCGGTTTCACTAGTAAGATTTACGGGGCAAGTGATCTTTGCCTAGATGTGCAACCCACAGCCTCAATATGGCATAGATGGCTCATCAAACAAAAAAACAGTGTAACATCAGCAAATTTGTTGAGAGGAACATCGCCGCATACTGGTTCAAACACCCAAGGAATGTTCGTGTGGTAATTGTATTATGTAACAACATGTGCGCGGTCAACGCAAGAGATTGGACCACACAACGAATGCACCGATGGTTGGCAAAGTAGACAGGCTATACTAACGGTCACCCATAAAACTCGAACAGTAAACATAAGATTCAGTGACATCGCCTGGAAGAAATGCATTTAGTTTGATTGGGTACCCTTATACCATCCAGAGTCGAGGGGAGTGCAAGCTGGATATAGGAAAATTCACATGGGTTCAAGTGACTTACACAAAAATACGAGCGATACAACATGCAGTGAAGTGAATCACACGCGTGAGGTGTGGGCGTTAGAGCTTTTCTGGTTCCCATCCGATTGAATAAACAACGCCGACATGAATTTCGCCGGGAGAATGCTGATGAGCATTTTTACGTGTCAATTTGAGATAGTGGTTACAGGTGATAGGTAGATAACAATATTACAAGGGGAGGCACCACTGCCGAACTCATTGGGGACAGAAAGCCACTGGGTTGGAGTGCCGGATCTATTTTAGCTCGCCTACTAGTCAGACTCACTACAAAAGAGATAATCGACCTGCTCGTATATTCAGAGCTTCACGTGGTAACATTCGTGGCTAAATTAGTCCAAGCATTTTCATCTACCTCACTTAAACCATTACGCCAATAGACAGAAATTTCCGGTAAACGTGATCTCACTCACTTGTTCAAGACTGTTTCCGTCTCAAAAATAAAGTTTGCGCTTACACCCACTTCTTCCTTTCAGTTCCAACATTAACCCTACTTGATACCTCCACACAAGCTTCCCAGTGTAGACCAGCTACGGTCTTTTGGATGTGGGCTGCAGTGTTTGTTTAGCTCTTTGCCTCCAACTCAACCATATCTTTAGTTCACCAAATAGCAACCAGTCATTTGTTTCTTCTACCATTCCCCTATCTCTTATCTACCTTGACAAATCAAGATCACTCAGTTCTCTTGCATACCACACCTATCCCCTAATGTTGCCAGTCTACCCCTATCGACTTTAGGGGAACCTTCTACATCCCCAAAAGTGGGTCACTTTACGACCAATTCATATATGACTTTGAATACGAATTGCTCTTGAGCACCCACCAACATGGGTTAAGGTGCCACCGTTATGTCGATAATCTGTTCGCATAGTTGTCTCAATTCTGGCAATCTGTCCTAGACTGATTAAGTGGAACTGGCGATTAAGCGCTAGTATGCATTATCGGTGTGTTGTTTTCAACGATTAGGACGATATTTTTAGCGGGACTGACCACGAACTTTTTCGACCGATGTGGCACGAGGGATCCTTTGTCAAACAGATCATGCACAGCCTACTAAAGTGGAAACTCTTCAGTGAATCAGCACATAAATATCGCTTCAACAGCGCTGCTTCATAGATCAACGTAGTATCAACGCTGTAGCAGCACAGTGGTTCCAGTATTCTAACAATATTCATGAACGACCCACTTTCGTTCGTTCGTGGCAGAATTCATGCATCTGTTGATGGTGCTTACCTTCACAAATCGACTACCTACCGAATTCGGTAAAGTGATGACCGACCAACAACACACAGAACGCTGCACATGCTAATATGACTAGGGTTTAGCGAGATGGATCAGGAGACGAGAAGACTTAGTTATAGGAAGGTCCGTGATTCGAACCCGACATCTGCATCCCCACTTCTGTCTAGGCTTGGGCAACCTAGTAGTATCCCAGACCTCGTGTTGCTTCCCGTGGCATGGCATTTAGGCACCGAAAGGGTGTTACAGCTAAGCGACTTTTTTTTAGCGAATACCGTAAACCGCAACCTTCCCGACTCCGTACACAACCCCTTTTGCCATCATCGTTTAATCGCTAACCACATTCCCCGTCTTACTCTATAGTCTCGAACTTGTTCTCTATTTGAGTCTCAAAATTGCTTCTAGCCTACCAATTTCATCACAAAAGTGCGGTCATGTCTTCGATGAGGCAACCTTCAAACGTATTTCAATCTTGGATCGAAGTATCACTGTCATCATCGTTATCAACGACAGCAGAATCTGTGTTGACACTGATGCTCCAATGTTGAAATCACACTGTGCGTCTTCCCCTTCAACGCAGGACACAGCTACCGATTTTTTATCATATGGCTACGATCGTGAAGTCATACTTCTTCAGTCAGTGGCTCCCACGACTCGTCTCTTCACTTCCAGGGGAAAAACTCAAGAGGTTACACATAATTCATCCTCTATCTAGTTTTCCACAGAGCCAAGTGGCTCTGGAACATTTTGCCATCCTCTGTTTTTTTGTTACCTTTCTTACAGCCTCTAGTGCTTCCGAACTCGGGTTCCCGGTTATCCATAGGATCTCAACAGACGTGCAACTACTCGAAAGCCTTAATATGATTCGCGGCACTAGTTCTGTGTTTTTAATCCATACAAGGGATTTTTAACTATTGCCTTTCCTTTTCACTTCAATCCACAGAATACAAAATAATAATAAAAAAACTGTGCACCGGTTTTCAAACTGCATAGAACGTTCGTGCAGCGCCCAGCTCAAAGTGTGCTCCACCCACGGAAGAAATTAATTCTTATCACAAGGCATTGTTTTCCTAAAACATAACCCTCACAAAGATCGAACAGAGGTCTCTTCCGAAACATCTAGTTCGCTAGCGAGAAGGGGAATATCCGTCGACGGTCACGGAAAGACAGATGAGGTCAGCCTCACTAGTGTACATAACCTGACTTGACGGGCGAGTCAAAATGGTGATAGTTTTGAACGCTGTGTGTCGAGTAGCCGTAATACAGGTAGCAAGTATGAATAAACAATGGGCAATGAGCGACCATATAAGGGATAACATTTATTTCGTTGTGGAAAACCACTTTCATGACTTAATATAGAATAGGACTTGAACTATTATACAAAAAAGCCAACCACTATTGATATGCAGGCTCCCACACGGGATGGAACATATATTTAGGGGTTTACATCAAAAGAAGGTTATCCGCGACCTTGCTACGTCACATAACTTGTATTTTCGAATTACGGGGCTAACCCAACCCAGGTCATCATACGCACCAACCGATCATTTCAGCCCAAATTAGCCGTGTGGTCGCCTTGCTGTACTTTATTATTTAGGTCCAAGCGACAGTGTAAAGTTACATGTAGCCACATGAAAGCCGTATTAGTCAAAACTCTGGAAATGAACCGGCGAACACTGAGAATACGGGTATATAGGTGCTATACGCGAAAAGTCGATAGGTACACATCTAAGTAAACTAGCTTGAGATATCTAAACTGAGTTGACAGAGCTTGAGTGCCGCTGTCAAATCCTTCGTTATCTGGAACGTCTTTCTGATATCTCAAGCTAGTTTACTTAGAAGTGTACCTATCGACTTTTCGCATATAGCACCTACATACCCACGATTTCTCGAAATATTGTCCCTGAAATTAGCACGACAGGAGTTGGAACGTTTCGCATTACACCGTACCCATAGGGTGTTCTGCTGTGATAACAATCCAGTGAGAACAGGTCAGGCAGGTTGCCTGACGAGGGGGCGCACAAGAGACCAGTCTGTAACTGCGTGAAGAAACTCCCTTGGTTTGTTAATCTTGAAAGTACAATTTCTCTGATGACAAATAGTCGCACACGCCCTTCAGTAGAGTAGTCAAATAAGGCAAAGGAACCCATCTCTTTTGTTGGCTCCAACCCAACTCCTGTGCGTACAATTGGCGAGCGAGTGCATCGTTCCATAGGCGAATAGGTTAGATGACAAAAAAGCACTAGTCATACACGCTGATAAGATCAGTGTGATAGTAACTGTCTCATTTGGACAAACGTTGAACATATGGAGAACCTATTCAAGTTGACGTGAAGGATACCATCATGCTAAGAAAAGAAGCTCTTAAAAACACTCAAATAAAAATGGATTTGTGTGTGTGTGTGTGTGTGTGTGTGTGGAGGGGTGATTCGTATCCCCTACCCTCTCCCGAGAAAGAAACATCTCCATCGGGTAGATATGTTACTAGCTCACAGTCCTTGCAAGGGAACAAGCACTACATCAAAGATCTGTTCCTCAAACGGCAGGCGAGCTGGCATTTATACAGTGAAACACGTAGCACAGTTAGTTAAACTCAAACCATCCCGGGGAATGAAAAATGGGTTCGTTCGAAATTGTTTGAAGCTCAAGACGTTTGCCCGGGTTGCACAATAAAATCAGTGACAAAAAAGCACCAGTCTATGGCTGTCGTTCTACATAGCCTTTGGTTGTTCATATTAGTTTGACTCAAACACGCACTCCCGGTGCGGTGTGAATAACGGACATTGATCGGAATTCGACTCTAGCTAAGAATGCCATTCATCACTCCCTCAAGGGACTTGAGGCGATTGTCTACGCCAAACCGAGTCTAAACACCCGCATTTTCTCCTAGTCTGCACACTGGGAGAAAAACAAACAAGCTGACAGAATGAGAAAAGCAGAAAAGAGCATTAAACGAAACCAAGCCATTATCGAACAGAGACTTACCGACCGCGATAGATGATTTTAGTAGGCTGTACTGCTAAGACAGTAGCAATTACATCGTCTGCATTGTGGCGCCTCCCGGCCACCGTCAAAAGCCCATCCACGGAACCACAGACAAAGATGAGGGAGCCCTGTGAACACGCATGAGAAAAGCTACCAATAAAAGTGTCAGTGAACACGTTTGGCAGTAATAGGAAGACAAAGATGAGGGAGCCCTGTGAACACGTTTGGCAGTAATAGGGAGACCGGATAAGCGAACTACACCCATCTACACACCGGTTTGGTTTTAACGGAAGACTCAACTGAATCTTAGCTGAATCCCTCGTTTGTGATATCCTTTAACCGAATGTACTGCACAAAGGGCACCTCATGTTTCAGTTGGTGAGATATTAGAGATATGGAAGCGAGTCTTTTTGAAGGAACAGCAATCCCACCATCAATCTTCAAAAGCTGTCGACCGATTAAGCCCTTTTTGGAGCTCATCAAGTAGGCACAGTTCCCAAGTTTACCTCAAACTTATGTTTCACTTGAATAAAAACTGTATGAAATTCGCGAAATATAGTAATTTGCATACCAATTTGGTTTTAACGGGAGTCTCAACATAATCCCAGATGAATCTCTCGTTTATGATATTGTTATTCGACAAAATGAGTCCCAAAAAGGATGAAACCGGTCGTGCGCTGTCGAATAGTTTCCGTTAACCCTACGAGTAATGCTTTTTTAAAGCCTAAATAAGGTTGATTAATTGGAGGTATATGGTACTGATACACTTAATCGAGTTGTCAGGAGTGGGCTATTTCATAGAGAAAGAAACTGATTCATGACCGATTTGGGTTGGAACAATCTTGACTTACCGAAGAAGCAGGTCCCGGAAACCCGAGGTATCCTGATCGGGTGTAGGTTACTGTTCCAGGGGGATTCACCGGGGTTCCGTCCTCATTCAATGGTTCAACATGGAAGTGTGCTCCAGTCTGCCCACGAAGACCCCAGTAGCCGGTACCCGTATAGTCGGAGGTAAGGCAGATCTCGCCCAGTTCGTCTGTCCGACATAGTACAGGTTTTGGTCCAAGACGCACCACAACTGCGGATGCTGCAAAGCCCAATAAATGATTTATAGTTTGCGTAGTAGACACTGAATTTTGGATGCGTGAAAGACAAGCCTAGCCCCACTTTCTGTGCTACATTCAGTGGACAGTTCATCATTTCAGTAAGTAAACTACCGGCACTGTTTAGTCCAAATGCAAAACAATTCGCGAATTAAGCTTATTTCACTTTCACCCATAGACACTGAGAATAACCAGTCACAAAAACAGAGAAAATATCTAATGAGATGAAAGCCACTGAAAGGACGCATCACAAGGAGCACGGTAACTTGTGGGACGCTGGGAGTACTTACCACCAGGGAGTACTTGGCCACAGTCTTGCAGGGTCAACGACGTTAGAGAGTCTTCCGAGTCCACACGAATCACACCATATGTAAGACTGTGGATGGAAATCACTCCGCGAACAGCGCTGGAAGCAGCTGCTGATGCCGCATTCGACTGCGTAAGCGTATGTGGTAAGCCGTTGGAGAACACTTTACCATTTGTTGTTGTACCCATGACGTGCACCTGTGCCGGGCGTCGTAGACACAGCGTCAGTGTTTCCGGACTGCCGGCCGCTGGACAAATGGCCTCAGCACGGAAGCCTCGTGATCGGAATTTTTGAACGAAGGAATCACAGGAGTTTAGTGACCCTGCAGAAAAGAACAAATGATTTTTTTATAGAGTGAACCTGAATGAAATAATTATTTGAGCGCCTTCTCCTCGCAACCGTTCGAAAAAAGTCGGTCAGCCGGTCGAACAACAACAACAAAGACTTGTTTTATCCTTGGTCGAGATATAGGACCTGCTGGCTAGAATAAGCCTGCTTTCTCCAATGTCGAGCGACAGGATTGTTGCTCGACAACTGGCGCTGAAAGGAGACTACAAACGACGATATTTCCCATACCAACAAAAATGCTTTCTGCATTGTAAGCTTACCACACTTCCACATCAAGATACTCGATTTTTCACATCAAAAATTGGCGTAACGTGCACCTAGCGACCTCCTGCGATGTGGTTGTCTGTTGATCCATATAGAACACTTTTTGTGTTCCAGTTTAACTGGTCCAATGTCCGTCGTGCTAGTTTATACCAATTTGGAGTCAAAATCTTAAAAGCGAGACATAGATATCCCCCAATTACAACCTTGAATAGCAATCAAGATACGCAAATCTGGTCGTTTATCGGATGGCCAAACAACCTACATCTTGCATCGTAATGCGAGAGGATACAGTCGGTGGACGGAAGGTTATAAGATGAAGTATTTATAATATACGCGGAAAACGAAACATGGTTAACTAAACCGTACGTGAAACAACACGTGACCTGTTTAGTCGTCTTGATATCTCAACCAGCAGGATATTTTCAACTGTCCCTGGACGATTCTCAATTATTCAAGTGGATAATTGGTTTACAGCATTCACGAACAAATTCAGGCTGGAAACTGAGTGGGTTCCACAGGTACGTCACGGAGCAATGAAATAGCGTATGTAATGTCCAATCAGATAAGAACACCAATTTGAAGAGACTGAATAAAAATGATATCTTCCGAGGAGGACAGTGTCCTTGAGACTCCAACTGGTTGAAAGAAAGAGATGTTTTCTGGGGGGTGGCTTCACTAAAGAACGGCACATCAATCAGACTGTCTTATGGGACCTAACGTAAGTGCACTGATCCCTTTACGGAGTTCGTAGTAGAGGTAGACTAAAGGTTGCACAGTTAGATCTGGGTTCATGGTCAAACCGAAGGCAGAGTGAGGCTGACAAAAAGCTTCAACAATACATTGCCGGGTGATGAACGAATGTTATCAGTTGGGGTGTCCAGATTTGCTTGTTCGAGACAAGTGGAAAACCAGGTTTGCATTGACATACCCGAATGATGACATGCCAGACAAACAAAAAGGATGGCAATTTTATCCATCGATTAGTGCCCCCACACACACTCTCTAGAAAGCCCACTTTTCAGTGAGGCTGACAAAAAGCTTCAACAATACATTGCCGGGTGATGAACGAATGTTATCAGTTGGGGTGTCCAGATTTGCTTGTTCGAGACAAGTGGAAAACCAGGTTTGCATTGACATACCCGAATGATGACATGCCAGACAAACAAAAAGGATGGCAATTTTATCCATCGATTAGTGCCCCACACACACACTCTCTAGAAAGTCCCACTTTTCGTGAGTTTTCATTCTCCGCGTGAAAAGAACCAGTGTATTAAGGCAAGATGAAAAACTATGAAATCCAGATACAACTGAACTGTACTAAGCTACCAGAATATCGAGGTAATTTCAAAAATCGCCCACTGCGCTTTATCAAATTAATATAGGTACGATGTAGCCATGACCTGTATGAATCAACCACTGGCCTGTTCCTGGCAGCCGACCGATTAGCTCAACTGCAGCATACTGATGGTCATGACTAAAGCCTCACTAAAGTAAAAAGTATGTGGATGAGGCGTGAAGGAACACTGACAAAAAGCTGAAGTGTACCCACTGAGGCATCGGCCACAACTCGCGGTCATCAGCTTCACAGTGAGGTGTCCTTCAGTCCTCAGATTGAAATCAAATCAAAAAAAGAGCTGGATTGATTAGATAGGACTAGTTTGCTATTAAAACCAGTCACTTGAAAATTGCCGGTAAATTTATTGTCGTCACGTTACGATAGGTTATTTATTGTTGTGGGCTCTGTCCCGGCGACCTTCCACAATAAGCATTTGGAGATAGGGAAGTGTTTTGCTAGACATCTGTATTGTCTCAACGATGACTGATCGGTAGGAATTTCCTGTGATGCCCTGTAAAAGTCGAAAGACGGATGAACCAAAGCGATATTCAACTAGAAAAGCTAACACACCACTTGACTATAAAGAAGAAACAATAAAGGCAGACCTACATGGATTGGATCCATCGGCAACTAACAACATCCGAAGTGAGGAAAGGTTGACATTAGGATGATCTCGCTCTGCTAAGAGGGCCCAATGCATATCACGACTTTTGACGACGGCGACAGAGGCTAAAATATAAACGACAGAAGAAAAAGTGACAAATATGTGTGCACGGACGGAGGTTACTGACATGACGAAACGAATGAGGGTATAAATTTCAAATGACCGAAAAAGTAATCGTGACAGCAGAAAATATGTAGATGCTGGCAGATTCTGCTGTAATTGGGAGGAGAAATTGGTTGGTGGATCCGGACAGCAAACCGCGAGAGATGGATATCAGTGACGATGTAGACGCGACACCGAGAGACTGCGTATTTTCACAGTCGGACAAAAGAAGCCCCTTTCCGCACCTAGTAAAATTCCGACGCCAGTGATATGTCTGCCAAGGACATAGATTGCAACCTCGCTGTACGGCCATGTGACAGATACACGACATCCAGTGCCTCGGAAGTACTGTCCGGGTCGGAAGGAGACGGTAAATCAGTAAAACAGATATGTCGGATAGTCATCGTACGAAAATCACCCGCGTAAAACCGGCTAATCACACCAAACAAATGACGTTGAAACGCGCGCTTCGTTTGTCAGAAAACCATATCTATCTTGGAGAGCCATCTTCATCTGAAGGGTGAAAACGATGTCAACATGATGAGGCTATCAAACAAAGCGCAAAACGATCTGCAAGCAAACTGAGTCACTTTGGCGACGGCCTTCTGATTGGGTACCACGCCACCAAAGGCTATCTGAAGGGTGAAAACGATGTCAACATGAAGAGGCTATCAAACAAAGCGCAAAACGGTCTGCAAGCAAACTGAGTCACTTGGGCAACGGCCTTCTGATTGAATACCACGCCACCAAAGGCGAGTAGCCCGGATACTGCAATCACACATCCATTAGCTCCCATTCACTCAGACTGTTTCTGTTAGTGCATAAAAAAGATTGGAACAACTCGACTTCAGCCAACGTAATACACCATTATTTCATGTGACTGCTCTCCCATCATTCCATCTATCACCGATGAGGGAGACAGTAGTAGCTTGAACCGCGCACTTTAGTATGTGGTTGCAGGACGAACATGGGAACGAATCAATCAGCTAGTTTTATTGACGTGCTGCTTCGACAAAATGGAAGAGTGAATGGCAAAAACTCCGGTTTCGATTGACCACAAAAAAGTATTTGTCCACGTGCCAGCACAATTTTGGATGGTTGCGTAATCAACCCAATGTGATTCATTTGTGACACAAGACGAGGATTTATTGCGCAAGATTGGGCTGTCTTTGTGCCCATCCTTCTATTGTCGAATTACACTGTTTTGGTGGTAATCGTTAAAAAAGGGCAATCTCACAGAGATGCAGAAGAGTGGAGTTACCGTCAGTTTATTATACACATTATTATACCAACTCCAACGCCGCACGAGAATTGAGGTTACGTCCGTTTGTGGTCCAACAAAAATCGTTCAGCTGTAGCACCCTTTCTGTGCCCAACTGCCGTGCCACCAGAACGAGGCACGAGGGCTGGCATACTGCCAGGTTGCCCAAGCCTAGACTGGAAAGTCGAGAGGTAGAGGTCAGGAAACAAACACGGTCTTTCCGGCCAGTAAATTCGCGCTCTAACCACTTGGACCATCTAGACCCAGCGGTCCAGCTTTAACTATGAAGCATGGGATTGATTGACAATGACCAGGGTATTCGTATCAATTACCTAGGAACGTGAAAAGGGATCATGGATATTGCTTGGTAGATATGAACGTCAAGCTGATCATACGAACGCCAAAAATTTCCCCGGGTCCGACCGTTATATTTTATATCCCCACATACAATGCCAGTGCCGACCGACTAACAGCGAGTCAAATGGCTCGGATCAAGGGGTCAAAATTCACTTAGCCCCTTTGGAGCTAATCATGGGGACATAGTTACTCCCCCCCCCCCCCTGAACTGAATGCCCTGGTGTAAATATACTGATTATGCCACTCATCTGCATGCTCATTTAGTGTTGGCGAAGGACGAGAGATATGAACTTCACATCGGCATCAAAAGATAGACACAATTACCAATGTTTCTTTGGGATTCACGTACCTAAAAGTATAAAGAGTCACAGTGAAATCAATCGAGTATCTGTAGCTTAAAAATTGACCCGTTGCTGGAACACAGAATAGGATTCCCAGGGAACTGCACGAAACGCTGATAAAAGAGCTATTCAGGTGCAGCACCAACGTAATGTACAATGGGTTAGTTTCTTGAATATATATTTAACGTATTGTTCAAGCAAAGATAACATCTGACGGAAAATCTGAGAACTGCACGAAACGCTGATAAAAGAGCTATTCAGGTGCAGCACCAACGTAATGTACAATGGGTTAGTTTCTTGAATATATATTTAACGTATTGTTCAAGCAAAGATAACATCTGACGGAAAATCTGAGAGTACGGGAAGCAAGCATCGGTGCTGTCGATGATGATGATGAAAACCTGAGAGTAACCTGTTCGATGGTAAACTGTTTTCAGTGAAGTTTGATTAATCTTACAAAACTGCTTCTAGGCAACTGTAATTCGATACCATGAATACCCGTCCGATCGACGAATTCACTCGAGGCTCGTTCGGATACGCTGTCAAGATCAATAGACCGACATTTCCTATTTTAGTAGTCGTCAAGAAAGAATTTATTTATTATTGAACACTCTCCAATACAGCAGCGAAAAAATCGAATAACTGGCGAAAAAAGTCAACGGAGTAAATTAATGCTTGTCCAGACAAACAAGAGAAAGTAATCAATTCGAGAAAGAGCAGAACAACCAGGCAATTAAAAGGCCAGACTGTTGAAATGATGGCGACAGGTGACTTTTCCATGTACATAGTAGCAAGAACTAGGAATGATGTAAAAGCTGCAGATTGAATTTAACTAACCAATTGACCCAACGATGACTAACGTATCGTTGTGCAACGTAGGCCATTTGCGGTAGCAGCGAAGTGTAACAGGAACTATGAAGGCCTATTGCTTTTCGTCATATCGCCGAGGCCCTGAAAAGATATCACCAATGCCAGTGAGGCAGTGAAAAGATCAGATCTACTGTCAGTGGTACAAACTAAGGTGTCCAGTCGGTGTGTTCCCATCGTGGAGATAACAACTGTCAACCAAATTGAGATCGATCGGGGATACCAAAGAGATCATGTAGGTCACAGTACATGTAAATCCTCAGGCACCAACTTATGGTGCAAGCACACCACACGTTTGTAACTTTGATTGCAGATAGGTTTGATCGGCAAGGTTCACAAGTAGTCAAATGACCTCAGATTCCAACCGCGTTGACCACAGCACCAATGTTGTTTCCTGGACCCACATTTTACCAAGTTCGCGTTGTCTACGGGTACGCAAAGATGGAAAATGAAGCGGGTATCGTCAGTACCGGCAAAAAATAGCATGCCAATTATTTTTTTTCGTACTCCGCATTCACCACTTGAGGAACCAGTGATGTGGGTTCCGCGAATGAGGGAAGAGTGGTGTTAAGTCTAAGTGGGAGCGAATCACTACTGATCAGTTGCTCGTGGCCGAACGACTAGTGTTCAGGTGCCAGTCAGAAGGTCACGAGTCTGAGACTCCCTGGAGTTTCGTGAGATGCGCACGGCAGATGATTCCAAACAAGGATGAACACTACGCGTCCACTGACAAGGCTTGTGTAATTCAAATATAAAAAGCTGTCTATGTTCATTTACTTTTTGAATCATCGGGCTGTGTTTGCCGGTGGGCGATTTTCCAGAGAAACATGCACATCTTGACGGCCCGGATCTTCGATTGTACCGATCGTTATTTTACAAGGCTGTGATTGATTTACATTCCAACGGCTGTTTCCTAATGAAGCGAATTAGATCTGATTATCACAGCCCGTACAACAATACTGTCCTTGCCAAAAGCTCGGCTGTTGATCGATGCTATCCGCGACTCGTACAATGCGCAACAAAGACGACAATGGGCATGATTATCCGACTGGCGTGATTCGAATTGACTTTATCCCTTACCACTCTATCTCAAACACATTGGTCTCTGATCAGGCATTGTGAGCAGTTAGGCAGATGATTCATTACTAACAGACATAACATGGATACATTCTAACACCGAAACAAGTGACATGGGAAAGGGAAGTCTAGAAAAAAGAGAGAAACCGGGTGAGAGAGAGAGGATGCAAGTGGGCACACATACATAAAAACCGGAATATGAAAGAGCATGAATGTTCTAAATTAATGAGATTAAAAATCGCAAACAAACAAGGATGATCACTATCCCCATCCGAACGGCGAAACTACGTTAACTGAACCATCCCGGCTATCATAGTCTATCAGACGGTCGAATATTATTCAAGCACTGTAGGAGACTTCGTAGTTTACCCGATCATACAACAACATATATACACAATTATCCAGCAATGGAAACCACCGGGAACAAGGGAGGCACACTTTCCTTCATTTGGATCACTACGATGGGATACAATACAATGTTCCAGACATTCAACTACGGCACCATAATGCTTGTTTCCCAGTTTGACAAAAACCGCCGGGTAAACAAGGCTAACTCATTGTGACTACAGAAAAACGAATGGATAGTACCTAGTGAAATATAAACAGTCAGTAACGTAACGCGTGTCCTGGTATCCAGAAATGTGCTTGTCGTGCGAAGCAGAGTCGACTCTTGAGAGAACCTGCTGTTTAAGAGCTTGGCGCCCAAGAGTAAGCCGATAGAGTATGCCTGATGAGGACAAAACTTATTATAAGACTTGATTGAAAGGGAGTGCGAAAATTCAGGCCTGACAAGATAATCAGTGTCCAAGAATGCTCCGTTCTCCATTTTCAAACTTTCAAATTGAAAGCACGTCAAGCGCTTGTTGAGGACATGAGGAGCGAACAAAAGCTACACTGACGGTTTGTGCAGCACTGGAAGCGTTGCTCTCTCTAATGAGGCGCACTATTCTATGCATCGATATGCCAGCACATCAACACCCACTGGGACAGTTTGTTCGAGACACGAGGTTAACAGGCACCCTAAAAACAATGGCAATACATTTGTGTTGGAATATGATGCAATGGTCAGAAGCTAACACAAACGCAGAGTCCGTCCGGTGTGCATCGCCGACTGTAACGTAGAGTCAGGACATTTCAGTAAAACCCATGAAGGCTTCAATGCTGCAAGGTTGCCCAAGTTCAGAGATAGGTAGTCAAGATGTCAATCACGAGAGGAAGCTCGCTTCATTGCAACCAATAAGGGCTGGGTTCCATGTGAGTCTCCTATCCAAACCAAACTGATGTGCAAGCCAGTGTATTTGTCGAAATCTGTCCAATTTGAGTTCACATAGAAAATAAGGTTGATGGAAACTCGGGGACTGCGTCTACCTGATGAGCCCCAAGAAGGGCGAAACCAGTCGTGGGTAACCGTATGAGTAGTTTAGTACGTCTATCCGGTTCCGTTTTTACTACACGCGGGAGCATTGTGTATAGGAGAAGTCCTCCATCCAGCTAAAGCGTAGATGAATGACAAGGAACACGCGAATGATTAACATCGTGTTTCCACCGAAGTACGATTCACTTCTTATTCAAGGTGAACTCAGGATAACACGTGTTACCAATTTGTAGAAAGTAATACGACGGTGGACATTTTGTCTCGTCCACACACCAGTTATCCCAAAGTAAGCGCGAAACCAACCCATAGCGACGTTATTGGCAACGCAACGGTTCACCGTCTGAGCCTGTGTTGTGTTTTGTAACAGTTTTATGTCGAAAAAGTATCCAACCGACATACCACTATTATTGCTATATTGCCTGAGAGCAACTGGATATGCAACACTGCAAAGAGATCCGAATCAACTACAAAAGAAACGAATAATCTACTCGAGGGAGAATACGTACCTCGGTATTTGGTCACCATGCGTAGCCATGATCCCGGATCGACTTGCATCACAGAATAAGGAACGAAAATAACGTGGAGTCCGTTGAAAATGCTCTGAATGCAGACAGAATAGGAACAGAATGAACGGACCGTGATAGTCTACAATTAAGTAAAACTTATTTTTCCCGAGAGACAGTATGTCTGACTTGTGAAAAGAGAGCTGTCAGTGTGTGCACGGCAAAGAAACATCAATCAAATTGTATGATGAATCATAACAAGTGAAATCTAACGGTGTTGGTGGACCGATGATGGTAAACAAAACACGGGAACAGGGTAGCCAACACTTCCTTACCCAATCCGAGACAGAATGTGAAGGCAGTGACCGAAATGTGAAAACCGACGACAAACAAGTTAAAAGATAACTGGGCAAAGTCACGCTGGACACGATGGAAGTATATTCGACATAAGACAAGATCGAAACTCAGTCTGTTGATGCGTGACAAAGATCCAGTGCATGGAATCCCCGATCAGACATAGTGCGCACGTCTATGGCTATCCGACACAGAAAATGAGGATTTTCACAAGCTTTGCACACAGCACATATCAGTTTCTTCTTCACGGCGAGATCGGCTATTTTTTAGACTTGAGTGAATCCATTTAGAGCCACAACTAAAGGTTGGGGCGGCTAAAATGGCCAATACGCACGCCGGACCGAAGGTTGCATCGTTTTGTTCTCCAGCGCAAATGTTGGCGAGACATTCGCGGGGAACGAAACATGAAATGGCAGCGCCATTGTGTACCGTAGGCTGCTGATTTACTAATATGGGATATGGCATGTAACCAGTCCTAGGGGTGAGCTCAGTGTCAGTTTCTGCAAGGACTTTCTGGGATTATGCGCTGGCCTTGGGTTAGGTAAGTTGGACCACAAGCCACCAAAGGTTCTTACTCTAAAATAAGGCTCCCAGAGTTATCTCCATGCGATTCAATGGGAATGACCAATCTGTTGTATTTTCGTTACAGAAATAGGACTGTTTACATGAAATTCTCATGAAATTTCTTTCAGCACCATTAGGTCATTCCTTCCTAAAAGTGGTGTAGCGATTGACCGCCCGCATCGGTTGTAACAAATATCGCAGGTCGAAAACAAAAACAAACTTAGAGGATACTACAAACAAGAAATTCCATCAAAATGCAATTAAGCCAGTCACTAATACTGTCTTAATTCGCAAATGGGTCTTCAAGTGGGAAGTAAGGCTGATGGAACTTCGAGAACTACACCCATCGGGTGAGTCCTGAGAAGGACAAAACAGGAATAAGGTTGCCAGAGTTCTCATCAAGTCCATGAGTGATGTTGCACATGTGAGATAAACCGGTGCTGACAGTCAAATATCGTCCTATCAGGTTCTCTGGTCTGTTCCTCTGTGCCCAAACAGACAGAGCTAAAACTTTATAAGAATTAGCGCAGATAAGTCTGCAGATCGAATATAACATGTGAAACGACTCATCGCCCTAAAGTAGGAAAAACATTACTTATAAAAGATCGTGCGTAGGGTCCACAAATCGACAAGCGAATCAGAACGATAGTGTCAGGGTCAACATAAGAAAGAAATCAGTACATGGTTAGGTTGGAGGAAAGGGGAGTACGAGAACCTTTATATCTAGTTGTGTCATAGACGGCATTCTGGAGTGACCTGAGAACAGAGAAGTAGGTTTAGTTCGAAAACAAAACGAGAGCCATGCGCTAAGGACTAATCATCCTGGTAAGAGATTGCAGGTTCCATTGACACCAAATAGTACAGCTGGAGCGCCGCATGAGTAAAAACCGTCAGGTGAAATTAATCTTTTCATGACGTATATTTTTGCTCGAAGGCTTCGAGACCAAGTAGGTCGTTGGTAGTAATTGAGCAAGAACGGTTGACAGAACAGTAGCAAAACCTATCTGTCGCCAGAATTATGGGATTTTATCATGGGTAAAAAGGTTGAGTGAGAAACCAGCCGTGGGTACTCCTGATATGTTACCTACTGGATGGAACCCTACAAACACAGCTTCCAACTTCTGCCAGCAGTTAAATAGCTGGAAATTATTGAGCACATATGATTAAAATGGAGGCCGATCATCCAGCTGTAACACCTTTTGGGTGCCTAGCTGCCCATGTCACCCGAAGGAAGCACGAGGGCTGTGATACTGTCAGGTTTCCCAACCCTAGAAGTCGAGAGAAAGAGGTCGGGTTCGAACCACGGACCTTCCGGTCACGCTCTAACCACTTAAGCCATCTCGCTCCCAATGGAGGCCGAACCAATTAATACACTACCAAATCAACGGGAAATTGCTATACGCACCTCCCAAAATCGGAAACGTACAGAGCTACAGTAGGCCACAACGCCAAGAAATATGTGAAACAGACGAAAAACACCATGAACTAAAATATGGCAAACAATGATAAATTGCTGAAGACCACTCACAGTGAGCACAGCGTGCCACAAGCCGATCTCCCTTCGGCAATCCACGACACAGACGACGACATCCTCTTCGGAGTAGTGACAGGCCACCGTCAAGGCCCGACAGTGCGCAAGTGCAGCGCGACGACTGATCATCACACCGTGTATACTGCCATCTTTACTGAATGTGTACTGGGGGCGAAACCGAACAAGAACAATTAACCGAATCCATAGTAGAACGAAGACCATAGTTAGGAAAGGAGCATAGACAAACTACAAACTGTACACACAAACGAGCAAACTCACTTCCATATACAGACTTTCTTCATTTGGAAGTCTATCTGGTGGAGTCCAGTCCTTGGGTGGCTTGCTACCACCGCCATGATGATCCGTGTTGATCCATGTCACATTAGGCCAACCGGCGTGGGTGACGATATCTCCGTTAGGACCACGCTGTAACGCCTTGTAACACTGTTCACTGGCTAGGACGATACGCGCATTCTGACTGCTCAGAAGAAAACCCATTGACTGGCAAGAGGCGTCCTGTTTGCGTAGTAGGGGAGTCAAAAAGACAGGTGAGTAGATAGATTAGGGGAAAGAGAGTATCATACGAAAACAGAAGACCGGAACAAAAGCTTTTGACTGATATATGCTGAGCCACGACCCTCTGAAATTCGTATGAGCTGCCAAGGGAGTCACCGCCCACTAGTCAGACGTACTGCTGGTCTATGGAAAGCAAGTTTCACACCAAACAGACTATGGTAAATTGCCTAATCAGAACCACTCAGAGCACGAGGATCATGGTGTCGAACGGCACCATAATATTAATGCCGAACATAGGTGTTATTTCGACCCATAGCATTCAACACTGGCGAGCTCAACGCATACGCATAAATGCTGCTTGCCGTGGATCTATTCGCAATGCCCGAACACTGACGTTCACATTTCAGAGCTAAAAGCCTTTAATTTGCAGCTGCCAGACTGACTAGTAGAGTGACACCCAACCGAAGGTGACCAAACCCGATTCACGGAATTTTTGGCTCCATGGTCACATGATTATGCGACGTGCCGCAGTTTCCCGCAGCTGCCGCATCAGACGTTCGATTATATCCGGAGATGATGAGTACAGTTCTTCGAAAATTCTGACGAGTTCACGGAAGATAAATGATACCGGTCTGAGGTTGTACCTCTCAAAAACAGACTCACACAATATGCAACCTAGGTTTCTTCGCTGAGTCCTTGCTGTAAGCAGTTTACCGTGAAAAAGTCAACTGTGAGCGAATGTGGGTGACAGTGAATAAGCTCTGTGTATAAAAGTATTTTTACTTGACGTGATTTAGACATCCAAACAAGAGATGTGGAACAACGATCACGTGAAATAAGCAGCCAGAAAAGAATAAATCAACCTTCGAAACATATGGCCCATTAGTGTAGTTTCATTGTCTAGAAGCACCAACGACGAATAGGTGTTTACTAACTCGTTGACTCTTATGAATGATGTACGTAATCGGAATAACTACGTCGCTATGGTTTACCACACACAAGCTGGTCGGAAATGGACACGTTCGACCAGGATCACGGCACACGGAAACCATTCGGGTCTTGGCTCATTTTCATGGCAATTCATTGAAGTCAATCGATGAAAACTGCAATCTAGGGTTACTCGCTGTTATCAACCAACCAACTGACTGCAGCAGACAACATCACCGAATGAAAAAGCTGAATGAATCGTACGAACTAAAATAGCAAACGATTCCAACCGGTGCAAGGCAACAAAGAACTGGATAACGATGGCTCATATGACATTGAAAATATTAGTATATATAT